GTCAATGTACACTCTTCTGTCTAGGTGCTCCTCATCTAAGACAACCGAGGTGAGCTCCTTGACTGGTTCTCCTCTTTCTATGGTATCGTCATCCCTTGGGTTGAGGACCTCTACTTGTAGGGCCTCTTGTGGTTTTCACGTCTTTGTGGAGGAAACGTAGTATTCTCTTGCAGCTACTTGAACTCTTCGGACATCTCCGACTTCATTCAAGGTTGAAAAATGAAGGATGAGATGGTAGGTGGAGGGCACAACTCTCAGGGTGTTGAGAGCAGGTCACCCTAGGATAATGTTGTAGGCCGAAAGATAGTCTATCACCAAGAAGTTGACCACTGTGGAGCTTTGGTGTGCTACGCCGATAGTGACTGGTAATGTGATGGACCCTAGGGGATATACCTTCTCTCCTAAGAATCTAATGAGAGGTATCCTGATAGGCTGAAATCTTTCTTTGCCCAAGTTGAGCTTGTCATAAGCCTCTGCGAACAAAATATCCACAGAGCTGCCGCTGTCCACCAGAACTCTTCGCATCTGAAAGTTGGCGACGGTCATAGTGAGCATTAAAGGGTCGTCATGGGAATGTTGAATTCCTTCTAAGTCCTTGTCTAAGAAGAATTTGACCTCGTTGTTTCCGTGCTTGGGCGCCTTGGATGGGTGCAAATCGTCAGTGTGCCTCACTTTCTGGCATGGGCTTTCATAGCGGAGAGGGATTCTCCTCATCTTGCAAGCCCTCTGGAGATGGTTTAAATTTTTTCGATGGGCTGTTAGTCTTCCTGATTATGATGTGGTGTCGGCACTTGTCCTTTACTAGCAATATACTAGCGTAGGTGACCCCGTTGGATGAGCTTCTCAATTTGTCTTTTGAGGTCATAGTAGTCATCGGTGTGATAACTACAGTCGCGATGGAAGTGACAATATTTGTTCAAGTTCCTATGGTTTGAAGGAGACTTCATTCTCCTTGGCTATTTTATTGCGGGGTCATCTTAGATCTGTAATAGGATGTGCCCGATAGCGGCATTAAGGGGAGTAAAGGCTTGTCAATCTCTCTGTGGAGCAAGATCGAGTCGGTCTTTGGCAAGTACACTCTCTGTCCTGTTGCACTTGTTATTACTTTCCTTCTTGTCGTCCCTGTTTCTTTCTTTTCTTTTTTCTCCAATTCTGGAAGACTCACCTCGTCTGGCCCTTGTAATGTCCTCAGTATTCATATATTTTTGGGCATTCACTAACAACTTTGGCATACTCTTTAGTGGGCGCTTCATAACTAAGAAGAGGAAGCTTGATGACCGGAGGCCTTCTAGGAAGACAGTCATGCTTATCTTATCATCAGGCTCCTCGACCTGAAGGACCTTCTCGTTAAAATGAGAGAGGTAGCTCCTCAGGCTCTCGTCTCGATCTTGCTTTATGCTGCGCAAGTGGGTGACAGGCTTTTGGTGGTGATGTCCTCCAATGAAGTACGACATGAAGGACCTGCTCAGCTCAGCAAATGAGCCAATGGAGGCTAGGAAAAGTTTAGCGAACCATTGTCGAGTGGATCTCTTCAAGGTGGTTGAGAACACTCTGCACATGATTTCATCAGAGACGTTGTGCAGCTGCATCAAGGTCTTATAAGTTTCGAGGTAGTGAATCCTTCGTACCATCAAAGGTTTTGATGAATGACATCTTGAATTTATGAGGAAGTGGGTAGTTCGCCACATTAGGTTTGAAAGGCACGTCGGTTGGCCCTATAAGGTAGTCCACTGTCTCGGGTCCTTATACCTTCATGTCGTTGAAGACGTCACCCAGTTGATTTTGTACCTCCTTAATTTTTTTATCCTAGTGATTGGGAGGTCCTTTGGAATTATCATGAAAATGGCTCCTATGTTTCATGTTTTGGTTTTCACCCTTATCTTCATAGAAACAAGGGTCTCCACCATAGAAAGCAGAAGGTGGAGGTCCCTCATGGTGGGCCCCCCTGTGTGGGGCGCCCAAGGGAACTCCCAAAGGTGGGGTGCCCAAGGGGGCGTCTAGATCAGGAGTTCCTTGATGACCAGGGTGTGGAGCTCCTCTAACTTGAGGTCCAGATTGCGCTCCTCCTTGTTGTCCGAGCATCAGTTGTAGAATCTGCTAGTTTTGGGCTACAAGCTGATGTATTGTGTCCAATATCTGCTATGCATTTGGGACGGGATTGGTAGGTAGAGGAGTAACCTCCTCCTCTTGTGCTGGATTGTCTTCAGGCTGATTCATGGATCTGGTGGTGATCGCCATTGATTCATCAAAAAAAGTGTTTAGGTGAGAATTTTGTCTTTCTCTAGAAAGCACCAAACTGATGACGCACAAATTGAGTTTGTACATCACTTGTCAATTGAACAGTAAAATGCAGTAATTGATAAGTGAGAGATAGAGATATAAATAAGACAAGGTTTATAGTTGTTTGATCAACGTGACCTACGTCTACTTTGAATGACTAGGATTGTCGTGTATTTTATTAACTTAAGTGTGTAGGGAGAGCAAAGAGATACAAGCTATAAGAGGGAGAAGGGATATATGCTGGATTGAGTGTGACGCCCCCCCCCCCCAAGTGTTGACAGAGCTTACAATCTATAATCTCCTCATAACAGATTGGAGTAACTTAATGATAATTAAATAGTTAATCTGACGGTCATAACGGATTGAGACAATTTAATAGTAATTAAATAGCTGATCCGACGGAGATGACGGCCTCTTCTCAATGATCGAGACAGTTATAATACTCTCCATAGGACTCGGTAAAGGATAAGGTGAGAGTTGACTCTTTCTAAGGTAGAAAGGATGAGACTTTGGATAATCTTACGTGCTTCCTGCTGATGTAACTCCTTGAATTTGATGAGATTGACCGAATTGATCACATTAGACTGAACTTGACGGATCTCTTAAAAATGAGCCTTGATTCAAATCAAATTTATAACATGAGTTAGACGCTTGAACAAACCCATCAAATTCTAAAACACGTAATCACTTATTAATTTATACATTGGATCAACTAAAATATTTCATCTCTATTGAGCATCGAATATGAAGACATTATCCATTTTATGACGCCAACAACCTTGACGAGTTCACACGTGTTAGAAATTGTTTTATGAATGACAATGACCTGACATGATGTACATAATGATTATGAATGGTTTCTCATTCTCACTGATGGCCACAAATGACCATATATGAAAATGGACTTAGACTAGTACCGGAAAAAAAAATTGGTATTCTATTTTAAAAATTTATTATTTTAATAGATATTTTTATAATTTTTTTAAATCATTTTATAATTAAAAATTTTATCATGTTTATGAGTGATGTATTATTTTTGTGGGTATTTTTACCACTATTATAACAACTCTGTTTATCACTTTTATGAATATTTTTATTATTATTATAATAACTATTTTTAGCCCTTTTTTTGATACTAAAATAGTGATGAAAATATTTATAAAATATAATAAAAATTAATATAATATAAAAATTTTATTTTTCAACCTCACGAACGTATCGAGGTGGATTCCCACTAACTTTTGTTGCACAGTATCACTCACTGTGGCATCAGATAAACTCGTGGTAATGATGGTTGGGAGGAAAATGGGAACATCTTTATTGTGTATCTTTTTTATTAGTGAAATTATGCGATCTCTGACTATGTTTATTATTTCTCTTAAAAATAAAATTAATTTGGTTATCATAACAATCAACTATCAAATTTCAACGTGAACTCTAAAACTTAAAATTCTAACCTCGGAGGAAAAAGTTCAACAATTACCTCAATAGACCACCCAGTTGTGTATCATTTGTGCTAGCTAGCTGTAGAAAAATAAGGATTGGGACTGGAAAAAATCTTGGCAGCACTTCATCGTCATGAGGTGAGAGGTGTGACACATATATACTTGTAATTGCAGGAAAGAACCGTGTGGTCCTTTTGTCTGAAGCAAGAGGAAGAAGGTGTTTCCAAAGGCAGAAAGAAGTGGAAAAGTATGGAAAATATGAGAACCACGTATAGAAAGAGGAAAGGAGAAGACAATGGTAGAAGGGCATCTTTATGCTGCATTGAAAGCTGCATTTATTAGAAAGGGTAGAATAAATGCATCTATCCGTGTACAGAAATAAGATTATTTATATATATATGATCCGTCTCAGATTAATTCCAATAAATTTAATCTTAAAAAATTCAATAGTTTGTTTCAAAATTGGCACAGGGAATCATGGAATTGCAGAGGATTTAGAATAGCAGATGATTCACAAGCTGAATTCACACTTTCCCAGAAAACCGCACGAAAAAACAAAGCCGTAAGAAGTCTTTCTTCAGCCATATAAATCAACATACATTCTCAACACCTCTTTCACAACTTATATCAAACACTCTCTCTTATTGCTTGCTCTCGTCATCTTGGGTTCACGTTCAAACCTTCGATTTCTCGATCAAAGCTCGCGTGGTAATTAAGCGAAAAACTTTCTTACTCTCACTGTTTATCTTCTTATATTTTGTATTTCTAGATTCACTCGCAAGAAAATCTGGGTTTTCATAGCACTGTGGCATAAACAATCATCTTCATCGCAGGAATTTCTTTCATGCAGGGTCTTGAATGTGATTTCACTGCATTTTCTGAACTGAGTTTTTGTAGTTCACTGTTGTATACCGATTTTTCATTACAATCACAAATTCTGTTAAAACAACCATTTACCCTCTTCGACAAATGTGGTTTCCTTCATATTTTCTTGTTCTTATCTGGATATTAATTATTTGTTTTTAGAAGGCCTTTGCAGTGATTTTGATTATAAGTTTTTTTTTCATTTTCTGTGGGGATATTAATTTCTGGGTCCACAAGACAAGATAATCAAAGTAGCTTGCATTTTCTTGGTAGAATAATAAGAACATACATATTTATAATCTTGTCCAGCATCGATTGATCAATTCAGCAAGAAAGTGATTGTTCATTTGTTTATGGCTTAACTCTTGGAATATAGAACTAAAAATGTAGAATTTTGTGGTCTTGCTGTTTATGGCTATGGAAATATATGGGTACTCTGGAAGCCTTAATAACATGTTGCTAGTAGATTTGTGTTTCTGGGATCACTATAGGGCGTACACAACGGCTATCTATTGTTTTAACTTGTATATTGTTGTGCAATTGTTTATAGCTCCCCAAAATTAAAAGGCAATCCAACAAGGGGACAAGCTTTGGGTTGTATTCAAGTGGACCAATCCAACGTAGCTATTCGAGAAAATTTTGGTTAATTCGATGATGTTCTTAATCCTGGTTGTCACTGTATGCCTAGGTGTATAGGAAGCCAGTTAGCAGGCTACCTTTAATTAAGGGTGCAGCAGCTTGATATCCGATGTGAAACAAAGACCAAGGTAGTTTATTTCTGTTTTGTTTCCTATTTTATGAGCGTCTATCCAATCATGAGCAACAGAACATCACACAAAATCCTGGCAATAAGGCTGGATGTGAGTTATTCTGTTTAATATAATAGGAAATAAGGCAGTTTAATTATATCTTCTACTGTAGTTTCCTGTTATGCAGCATTATGAAGTCTTGAAATTACAAACAAAATGTTCTATTAAAATCAATTGAAAGATCATCATTTAAATTGAGGAATAGTTGATTCAGATAGTATACTTCATAGTAAACACATAAATTCCCCAATTTGTTTTTCTATTTGGAGCTCTGACTGGGAGTCGGGAAATTGACAACTTAAGCCAAAAACACATACAATGTCGTCTTTCGCAATATAGTACCATCTTATGTGATATAATCTGCAATAAAATAGTTGCTTATGATCCATTTTGTGTCTTCAGGATAATGTTTTCGTGACTGTGGTTGCTTCTATTCAATACCGAGCGATAGCAGAAAAAGCAGCTGATGCTTTCTATAAGCTAAGCAACACGAAGGAGCAAATTCAGGCTTTTGTCTTTGATGGTATGATGTTGACTGTAATCTTGTAATCACTTTGAAAGTTCCAATCAAATTTGTCCATCCTTTATCCATATTGACATTGGATATCATTCTAGCAAATTTTCAAGCAACTCTTTGTCATATCTGTTCTGAAGTTTTTACTTCTAGCTAATCTCATATGGATTTCTTGTCTCATTTTGAGTGGTTTTCAGTAACTTGTGTTTTTCTCCATTGCAGTAAATCATAATTTTGCCTGGCAAAATAATTGTAAATGGAGGGAAAGGAAGAATTTTTTTTTTTTGTTTTTCAGTATGATGAGCTTCAAGTTATGAAATACTATACAAGTTAATTTCAGCCTGTGTCTCTTTGAACATAGTTTGCAAATTAAGTTCAACCACTATGTCTGCTTGTTCTAGTATCATTGGTGGTTTAACATGGAACTTCGGTGAACCAATTGTTTGTATGTCACTCTTAGAATATGCCAACTTGACATGCTGATAGAGTTTGTAGGATGCAAGAAGAGTAAATAAACTTAAAACTGATGGATTAGGATTGTTATCTCAGTTATCAGGGCAAGCGTGCCAAAGTTGGAGCTAGATAAAGTCTTTGAGCAGAAAAATGATGTTGCAAAAGCTGTTGAGGACGAACTTGAAAAGGTACTAAATCTTGGTTTGGTAATAGTTTTGACCTACCAAATTGAAGAACTACATCTTGGTTTGGTTCCCTTTCCTGGGGTTGCATAGGCCATGCCTCTATATGGATACGAGATTGTTCAGACTCTCATTGTAGATATCGAACCTGATGAGCTTGTGAAGCGATCCATGAATCAGATAAATGAAGGTATCATATGCTTACATTCTTATTTTGCAATATTGATATTGTTACTTTTTATTCTCCACCAATAAAAATTGATATTACTTAATGGCAGTGTGAATAGATTAAAATCATACTATTAAAGAACAATTGAACGAGTTGCTGATCATCATCCCTCTACTTCCTGTAGGGAGGGTTCCATTGGGACTTAGCAGCATTGTGAATATATTGTGATGTGATATGCTCTGATCAATGTTTTATGTGATTATTGATTGCTAAAACATTTTTAAGACAAAAGCTCTACTGAGCCACGCACAAACAAGCATTGAACAAATAATCCAGTTCACTTTATTTATCTTTGTTGTCCATTTATTTTGTTGCATGATTTGATGGTTCTTTTGGTTGTCCCAACAAGCTTCAAGAATGAGGGAAGCTGCAAATGAAAAGGCTGAAGCAGAGAAGATATTGCAGATCAAACGAGCCGAGGGAGATGCAGAGTCCAAATACCTGGCTGGGCTTGGCATAGCTCGTCAGTGTCAAGCCATAGTGGATGGGCTGAGGGACAGCGTGCTCGGGTTCTCTGTGAATGTGCCTGGGACAACCTCCAAGGATGTCATGGACATGATCTTGGTAACCCAGTACTTAGACACTATGAGGGAGATTGGTGCCTCCTCTAAGTCTTCTTCAGTTTTCATTCCACATGGACCAGGGGCAGTGAGAGATGTTGCTTCCCAAATTAGGGATGGTCTCCTTCAAGGTAATACTGCTCAACTATGAAGTCCAACAACAATGTGAATCTCAATAAACGAGTTGGAGTTTGAGTTTCTTTTGGCATATGAAATGGGTGGTGTTATCATGTAAGAAGAAAACTATCTATTTGTGCTTTCTATTCCTGCAGGAGATAAATAGAGTTTCATGTATATGTGAAAAATGGTGCTGTGTGCTTTTGTATTCCTATAGTCGTTAATACATATTATTAGCGACAAACACATTGGTTTGTACTACAATCTTTGTAGTTTTCGTAATTCCCCATATGAAATAGCTAATCTATAATGGGTCTGCTTCATTGGATTCACCCTGACAACATGCTAGTTGTCACCGGATAACAACTCTAGTTTTTTGCTTTTTCTCACAACTGAGGTTACCCATGAAAACGTTGTTACTGCAACCAGCCACACAAACACGAATATAGGAACATAGACACTCACACAAAGGCCACACATGAAATTACAAAGAAAGTACTCCCAAACCTTATATTGAATTTTAGCCAGGCTGTTTCTCTGCTCGACAACTAACATGTAATTCTCCCATTTCAGCACCTGAAGTGGTAACGGCCTCTTTTTGCTTGCCCATGACTAGGTTATGGTTTATCCGCCAACAACTGCCCTCCTTGACCAAGTCTTGTACAGCAACTGTCTTCAATTGTTTGGTCACATGCATGTGCTAGTCATGTGCCAACTAAGTGCCTTCAATTCAGCAGTTAGTCCTTGCCCACGAGCCATCAAACCTGCTGGGTCCAATCCATGCCATGCAATTCAGAGTTATGCACCAATATTACCTCAATTGAACCCGCCACACATTGTCATACTCACGTAGTCACATGGCCGCTATAGTGCTCACAATCTATCGAACACCTTAGCCGTATTACATTGCTTCCAACTCATGACATGCCTTGGTGCAAGGTGTCACTAAGACCCATTATTCTGCACTCAAGTCAATTAGGAAGTGACACTAAACCAGGTGAAAAGGGCGATCCACTGCACAAAGGACCTTCCCATTGCTGAATTGAGGGTCAAGCATATGCAAAATTACCTTGCAAGTGGAAATACTGTTTCCGTGTACTACGCTAGATAGCTATAGATACAAAGATTGAACGACAAGTTGCGTCTAAAAGTGTATCAGACACTTATACCACATAAAATCATATTGCCGATGCAGCATCACCACTGGATTCTAAACCTGTTCTTCAACAAGCCAGTGGATTTTGTGTCCAACTACACTACAGCACGAGCCATATGTTTATGAAGCTTGAAGTACAGGAAACAAAATGTATCAAGTTGTGTGCCACATTAAAAGATTTCAGTTCGAAAAATTAATCCAGCATTAAACTTATAATGGATCAATGGAAAAAATGTGAAGAAAAATGGTTCTACTGGTTCGTTCCGCCGGCCAAAGGTTATCTAATACAAATCCATAAAACCACCGAGGTTTAAGGGAACCAATACCACCACACGACTGTTCTAAAGTCGTTCTTCCTACTTTATTGCTCTGCAGCATACAAAAAGCCGGCCAGCCTTCCACTCAAAACAGGGGGTGATTGCTAAATTCATGGCTTAAGAGCCAAAGCTAATCCAACCTTGGCACTTTTTTCAATTGCTGTGGTGTCCACTTCTCCCGAAATGGTGAAGAGGGATCTTGGACGCCACTCATGCTGAATGAGAGCGGTTGCTTTGCCATAGTTGTTCACCCGAGCCTTTACTGTGGTTAGGGGGTCCAATGCATGCTGTGTCCCAATGGTGAGAGTATTCTCGTTGCTTGAGAAGCTATGGGTCAACTCCGCACCAACAGCTGTATTGGTCAAAGGGCTAACTGTGTGATAGTAAGCAGCAGTAAGGGTGTCACCTTTTTCATTCCTGCATGCAAGAAGGGATCACCTTATTAAGACATGACACAAAAACCAATCATAAATAAACCTTGGATTCACTGTTTTCCCCTTTTATCTTAGGATTTAGACAGTTCAATGCAGCCAATACTTGGGACGCTATCTTACGATGGCTTAAGACTAGCCATGCTAATAAGACACACTTGGTGCAAAGAAAATGCTAAGAAGATAGAATGGTTCTCATTCCATGACCTCATTCACTCGTGCACGCTACACTAAATGTTTACAACAAATGTTCAAATATGCACACAAACTATCCATACATATGAGTTTCAGGACCAATAACTCCATCTCCGGATGATATATGGTACTCCGGTCAAACAGTGGCAAAGTAAGCTACATACAAGACGACGACTTAGCATTAATCTTTATCCTTCTTTCAATCAAAAAACTACTCACAATGTCAACGAAGCAACTAGATCGGATGTGGAGAAACTTATTCCACCATTGCATTTGGTGAAGTTTCCAGTAGCAGTGTCGAATGAGAGATCAGTCCCAAAAGAAACCATATTGTTCCCAGCCACGCCAGAGAAGTTGACAATGGGACTTGCAGTAAGACCAATGCTAGTACTAATTCCAGCATACTCATGCAAGTACTGAAGTTCCACCTGTTACCAAAATCTCATAAGTAAGAGATCCCACGTCCAATGCGCTCATAAATGGAGCAGTAGTAATCACATAAGCCTTGAGCAGTTCTTACCATAACAATATAAAATACAAGAGACAGTGTGAAGGGAAACATTCATTACCTTGCCAGATTTTTGGTCGGGAACAACAAAGCTAAAGATCGTCTTCAGTCCAGGTGCAGGTTCATCCACAGTAATGGTTGTGAGAAGCTACAAGCTCAGATATAGAATGGTCAAACTAAAATTTAGTCTACGTTCCATCCATTTCACTAAAAATCATCTGCTTAAACTGAATGAAAAAGGAAACCAGCCTCATTAAATGTAGCAATAATGTGCTTTTCTGTCAAAGCATATTCAGATATATAACAGCCAAATACGGATAACAACAAAAGTTTGTTTCCAAGGCAAAAGTTGATGAAGGTTACATACAAATTCAATCCCACAAAACCAGACCAAGATACATGCACATTTAATGAGACCATCAGCCTATCCAACACATAAAAGGCCATTGTATTGTCAAAAAATGAATAATCGTGTGAACAGAAAAATGCTAAGTTGATAGGGTGTAAGTTTATGATATGGATGCTTTTCTGTTTCTTATATTGTCAATTTCCCTTTTTCCAGTGCTGGGGATTGGGCGGGAAGTTTGTCAATCAATTAATCAGTCCATATGGAGAAATCCAAGTATTTGCAGGCATATCATATCGTGAGCACAACACCTTTGCTACACATTCAAGAATTACAACTTTTTGAAGACTTAAAACTTGACATGGTACACCAACTGAGAACTTGATAGGCATAGTTAAATTAACATAACATGAAAAATGCGAACCCCAAAATCTTGTAGTCACGTTGCAATATTTTCAGGGTATAGAGTACAGAGTCTATAGACCTTAATTCCGTAAGCAACTTACTTTAAAAGAAAATCCTCCAAATTGATCATTCCCTAGACTTCTATCACCTTGTCAAAAGACGTAAAATACAGCTGTTCAACTTGCAGCCTAATAACCAGACAAATCAACCAAACTTGCACATAACAACATCTTGAGAATAAGTGGCTCTAACAAGCTGCATTCTTTTCGAGCATAATGCTTTACCAGTAGCAAACCATAGAAAATCTAGTTGAAACTAGAGAAGATCATGTCAAATTAAAAGTTAATTGAAGTTTCATCCATTTGACTAAAAATCATCTGCCTGACTGAATGAAAAAGGAAATCAGTCTCATTAAATGTAGCAATACGCCAATAATGTGACTTTCTGGGAAAACATACAAATTCAATCCAACAAACCAAACCAAGATACATGCACATTGAATGAGACCATCACCTTATCCAACACATAAAAGGCCACTGTATTGTCAAAAAATGAATAATAGTGTGAACAGAAAAATGCTAAGTTGATAGGGTGTAAGTTTATGGTGGATGCTTTTCTTTTCTTATATGTCAATTTCCCTTTTTTCAGTGCCGGGGATTGGAGCTGGAGGTTTGTAAAAAAGTTAATCCATCCACATAAAGAAATCCAAGTATTCGCAGGCATATCATATGGTGAGCAGTGAGAACAACACCTTTGCTACACATTCAACTACCTTGTATTATAAAATTGGCACAAACATTATTGCAGAAAGATCCAAAATCTAGGAGACACGAGTTAAAGTTAAAGAGTATAGACTATATGTGAGAATTATGACTTTTTTAAGACCTATAACATGACATAGTATATCAACTGAAAAATAGATAGGCATAGTTAAATTAACATAACATAAAAAATGCAAACCCCAAAATCTAGTAGTCACATTGCTTTATTTCCAGAATATAACGTATACACCTTGACTCTGTAAGCAACTTATTTTAAAAGAAAAACCTCCAAATTGATCATTCCCTAGAGTTCTACCACCTTGTCTTAAACCAGACGAATCAACCAAACTAGCACCAAACAACATCTTGAGAATAAATGGCTCTAATAAACCACATTCTTTCAAGCATAATGCTTTACCAGTCGCAAGTGGCAGAGAATCTAATTGAAACTAGAGAAGATCATGCAAGAATATTCTTTTGAAATATAAACAAAGCAATAAAATCCTGCAACTTACATTGGACTTCGTGTCCACTTTTATGTCAGTTGTGATGTTTTTGTTCTTCAACTTGGTGCTCACATCAGCCAAAAAAAAGTCGCCTTTCTTAGTTCCCGTTGAAGTAATGGCCTAAAGTGCACAAAGAAGTGAAAAATAAGACATTAAAAGTCGAACAAAACAATTTATGACAGCAGCTTGTGATTGACAATACTCCATCAAAACCATAGGCAAAAATATTATGACATCCAAATGCATGCATGAATCTCAAACTGTCCCCACCAGAAAAGCCCATTTCGTCATAGACATTGTATTATAACCTCAAAATTAGTTAACGTGAACAATACATTTGAGATTAAGCACCGACACACAAAATAGAATAGTTTGCTTACTGAACAAAAAAGTCCAGATCCATGAATCAATCCAAGTGCTAAGAAATCAAATCGCCAAAAAACACGAGACTCAAAATGCAATTCTCTTCATTTTCCCTTATATTCTCAGCAAGCAAAATGAGAGTAAGAAACAAACACTCTAGCTTCACCAACCAAGTGAAAATGAAATTTTGATACACACAAATCTGTAATTCACATTCACACAATCACACATCTCAATATAGTGCATACATAATACATATACACACATATATGTATCATGCATTGGTGCATGATAAAGTTGTCTTTGGCTTGGCTGAATGTAAGTGCTGGAGGTTATAAATGTTTGCCCAATGTATCATTCTTTTTAGAACCATACCTGTTGTTCGCAATATTTAAAATATGAGAATCATAAATAAAAGTTCCACCAAATGAACAAAATTACACAATCTTATTCTGTTCAAGAAAGAAGAAATATTCTAATAGTTCAGCCCACATCTCAATGGTGTTAAGTAATTGTCTCTTGAATGCATGCAGAACCTTAAAATGTCGGCATCTGTGCGTCTGCACAGCATGTGATGCTAAGGTTGTGATTATGGGGCATTCATTTTTCCCCTGCTATATCTACACCAATATTATAATGTTCTCTCTCACTTTATCGCTGTGCATACACCTTTTGCAGGTTAAGATAAAGAGAAAGCTACACTTAGAAGAATTGGCCAACAACTGAAGGTCTTTTCATTCTGGAAAGCGAGATTATTTCATTTTCTACTTTGTTGCGATTCATTATTGTTTTAGTGTTTGGTTGGTTGTTGGTATTTATGTGTTGTGTGATTAAAAATTTATCGACTATATTTGTTGTTTACATAATCCTCATGTGGTCTGCAATTCTTCAATATTTTTTTTTTCTTTGATGGATTTTGGATCCTAGGTAATGCTGATCTACATATGGTAAGTGAGGCATGAGTTGATTTTTACAAGGTAGTTTGGTGTTAGATCCCTATTTGATGACTTTTTTTCAATCAAAGGGCTGTACACATGTTAGATTTGTTGCTGTTCTATTTGAATGAAAAGCAATCAAACTTTTCTATATATCAATTAAGACAAATTTGTCCAATATGTGTGTGTGTGTGTGTGTGTGTGTGTGTGTGTACTCAGAGAGAGAGAGAGAGACTGAGACCGAGACTGACCATTCCATTGGAAGTGTATGTGGTGACGGTGAACTTATGATCGGATTGGTAGTCCTTGTAGAGAAGATCTGAAACAACAATAGATCCACTTCAATAAATCAATGTAAACAAGTACTCCCACACACACACACACACACACACATATACAACAAATTGAATAACGATCTGATACCTCTAGCTTTCTTGCCGATGTCGGAGTAAAGACCTGGACCCTTGCCCATCTCTTCTTCTTCCGCCGGAAATTAGAGAGAGACGGTGTACGCTTTGGAGAGAGAGAGAGGGAGGGAGGGTTTTGGATTTAGCTCTGTAGCTCCCCTTTGTTGTGATGTTTTGTGTGGATTGTGTAAAATTCAAAGAGCGATCTAGACCGTCGATCTTGTGATGAAGAGAGGTTCGATTTTCCTGGCCGTTGATTTTTTTGCAATGAAGGCAACAGATAACTTTTTAGTTGGGTCGAAGTCGAACAGTCAAAGTCCGGAAAATCGCAATAACAACTATAAAATAAAATTTATATTTAAATTAGGACAAATGACACTTTGCACCCTAAAAGATCTTTGTATTTTAATTTACATCTAAAATAATTGAAATTATTATATTACACCCTCAATCAAACAAAAAAAAAAAAATAGCAACGTGCTCTGATTTATGTAAATTGAATAAAATTTTTTTATTAAGAAACTTTAAATTGACTACTATGCAAACAATGATGTATAGAAATAAGATGACATGACAAAGACAACCAAAACATTTATAAAAAAAAAAAAAAAAAAGGCAACAAATATTTAACTTTGGATTACATTGCAATCTTTCTATCTAATTGAAGGCACAATGTATCTTTTAGAGTAAAAATTGAGAATTTAAAATTTTTTAGGGGTGTAAAGTATCTTTCAACTTTTAAATTATAAATGCTAGGTAGCCTTAATTAATTATTTTTTTTTTACCATTTTTTTTCTCAAAAGAGAAATAAATAAATAGATTAGGGAAAATAAGGAATATCATATCATATGGAAATTATGGTCTTTTGGCCTATGTTTCTTATTCCCAAAAAAAATTCATCTTTTTTTTCTTTGGGGAAAAAGTGGCGGTGGATTAATGGTATACGCTAATTTAATAAAGAGATTGAACGATTGACTTTCATATTAATTTAAATTTATAAACTCAGTATTTGAATTTGACTTTTAGTCTATTTGTTTGGCTTCTTAGACATTTAACCACCCTTACCATGGTAGAAAATTTCGAGCTCTTCAATTTTTTTTTTTTTTTTGAATTATTTACCATGCTCAACTTCCATATTGTTCAACATTAAAAATTTCACATAAATTTCGAAACCATTTTAATAAAACATTGATTTTAAGGGTGAAATGAGAAGTCAAATGTTTGATGCGGGCAAAAAGGACGAGGTATGAAGATGCGTTTTCCAACTGCGTGGCTACTTTGGAATCAAATAAGAAAATGAACAAGCAAGAATATGCTATTTTTAATTCCTTTTGATGCTTGGAGGGACTGTAGTGTTCCATCCATTTGAAAGCAATGTACCCGTCAGTGGCCATAAAAGAATATCAATGGGCTGCAAAGCTGGTAATTCTATTGAGGAATAATGAAGAATTAAAATTACATTTTGAAATGATCGAAAAAATAAAAGTGCTTTTATTTTTAAAAGATTCAAACAAATCAATGTTTGAATTTGAAAAAATTGCATATTTTTATTTTTGATATTTAAAAAAGGGAGAAGCGACTAGTATGTAGTAATCTGTTTTAGGTGTCACTACGTGAGTTTCCACTGTAGAATGTTTGATTTGAACCATGCCTATAAATTCGGAAAGACAGTCTGTTACCACAGCACCACCAAAGCCAAGCACCAAAGCAAATTCTGTGTGTTGCTCTCGTGAATCTAATCCTAATAATCACATGGAAATCAAAAATGATTCTAAACGGATATTGCTTACCACTCGTTCACCATCCTGTGTGGTTGCATATTTTCATTTTGTCATTTACTTATTGTATATATTATTAGATTCTCTGACATTCCTTTTTATTTTTGCAACTTTTCCTCATACTCTTTTGTCTTATTTTCAAACTCAATTCCTCCTATTATAATTTTAAACTTATTTCTCAAATTACCATAATTTTTATAAATACACTTTTTTTATTGAAAAGCGTGAATTGTCGAAAGGTCCACTAGTACTAAAATATAAGATGCTGATCAATTGTATGATCATGTGTAATGCTGAAAGAAGCAGAATTTGTATAAATTTGTTTTTGACATTGCTTGCTTATATTACAGACAGACATAGAAGAAGTAGATGTTCATAGGAAAATGAGGATCTAATCAAACACCAGAAAATATATCTGTGAACACTACAATCGGACTTCGTACACTATGAGTGCCATCAGACCAAACCAGTGCAGCAGATTCCAGTGAATCCGATACCTTCCCATTGACAAACACAACAAACGATTTCTTCTCATTCAATGATTTGAAGGAAATAATGCTAGGCTTGACAATGACCCTCAAATGAGAATTCTTGATGATTGTTGCTTTGTATGTTGAGTTTGCAAGTCCAACATTTGTGACTGTTCTCGGAAATTGAACAGTGAAAGGCGTCGCTCCTGCAACACGAACAGCCATTGAAGGGTAATTGAGATCCTTTGGTGCCCCTTTAGTCCCCTTTGGGCAGATAGTGTTGTCTCCATATATTTTTCTAAGCTTCGATTCATCGTATTTCATGTTGCACAGCATTTTGACGTAGTCTTCTTTCATGGATTCATAGACAAGTCCAGGTTTTGAAGCTTTTACAGGATCTATATGCCCAGCTCCATACGCGAACTCAGCATCTGGATTTTTGGTTGCATTCATTCGCCAGGCTATAAACACAAGTAATTAAATTTCGTCATTCATTGCCTTTGGCTCTAATGTAACTGATTCCTCAGACAGTGGATTAATTTTGGGCTTTGAGCCTGATATTAATAACAACTCTAAAGGAAAGGATTGTAAACGTTTAAAATTTGTATCAAGCGTTACCTGTCGTCATAAGAGCAGATTTGATGACTGAAGGCGACCACTCGGGGTGCAGAGATTTTACATATGCTGCTGCACCAGCAGCATGGGGGCATGACATGGATGTCCCGGATAATATGTTGTATTTGATAGATCTCTTATCGAGGGGGTCTTCAGATGGTGAAGCAGCCGGTGAATATGCAGCCAAGATTTCAACACCCGGGGCAGCTATATCTGGCTGTAATCATAATTAAGCAGTCCCATGAAGTCCCATGAAACACTTAATTACAGGAAACAAATATGGTAGCTAGCAATGGGACAGATGACCTTATGAATTATATCAAGGTACCTTCAAAATCTCTGGTATGATTGTATTTGGTCCTCTTGAAGAAAAAGAAGGAACAAAAGGAGCACTAAAATTGCGTACTGGCTCACTTCGAGATATTCTTGCTCTAGGCATTCTATAGAAGAAGAACACATAAAATTGAAAATTTTCAATGCTAGAAATGTATAAATTCCAACGAAAACCCGAGTTTCTACTTGAATCCTTACTTTGAGGAATTCATGTATCTTTGGACCAGATCAATGTCTTTGGCACTTAAAACCGATGCAGGCAAGGGGACAATAATAGAAACATCTGTTAGTTCTCCACTTTGTGCAATTGCTCCAAAGGCACCAGCTCTATGAACTTCTTTTATACCCTTAGCATCATTGCATAATACAATCTTTCCTTTCACTAATCCACTGTCTAAACACCCTTCAGAGCACAATCTGAAAAAATAACAACAATGCTTCATGGTTTCGACTTCTTGTTTCAAAGAGAGTTCAAAAATAGCTTGGAGAGTAGGGACTTACTGAGCACTGAATTCATCACATGTTTTTGTAACATCACTTCCATATATCAGAGGGTGTTTTGTACCATTCACCTTGAATTGATTAACTGCATTACCCTGTTCCAATATTTCCATAGAAAGCAAATGAGAAAACAGGCTGAGAAACTTCAAATTACTCGATATTATGTCGAAATGAAGTTCATATAACATGCTCAGACATTAGGCTATATGATTTGAAACTAAGACTGCAAAAATGAGTGGAGGTAAGAGCCACTAGTACTGACTAGGAAATTGTGTTGTACGTGAGAATAGGTTTAGTCCATATTCGATTCATTTATAATTCTGTCATTTTTGAGTTTGTGTCATGTATAAGTTGTGCGTAGTGTGGTTCATATCATCTAGTTGGCTTCATGTCTATCATTTATTTAGCAGTTTAGTGGAATTAGTACTTACAACAAGTGTTCTTCCATCCCCAAGAACAACTTTGTCAATGATTTGACGATCTGTACTGCTTGCTGCGACAGTGAGCATCCATGGCGCCACACTGACCACTGTCCCCGCATGAAAGGCATTACCGGCAGAATGAGTAGTGAGTATACCTCTCTCCATCGCGTGAAACGCTCCGATTGCAATGCTATCATAGGTCAAATCTGTAACAAATTGTACTCCTAATGAAACTGTAATAATGTCGACTCCATCGGCTATTGCATCATCAAAAGCTGCTAGTATGTCAGTCTCTCTACAACCAATGTCAGGGTGGCAAACTTTATATGCAGCTATTCTGGCTGAGGGTACCCCTCCTCTTGCAGTTCCTTGTGCGAGTCCATAAAAACTGGCTTGTTTTACGAGGTTTCCGGCTGCTATTGAGGCAGTATGGGTTCCATGGCCCATAATGTCCCTGGCCGAGACATCGGAGGTGTAATACCGAGCTCCGATGATTTTGCTGCAAAATAAGCACAATAATGTATACAACAACATGAAACAAGACTTTTAGTGGCGCAAAAAGTCATCACTAATATTCTCAAAGTCACCACCAACTCTTTTGGTGGTGAAACAATATCACCACAAGGTCGCCACCGTAAGTAAAGGATCAATGAAAAATCACTACAAAAGATCAAATCTTTGGTCAGGACACGGAAGTCGTCGCTAACGCATGCACATTAGTGACAAAAATAACTGCAACTGTTATTGAAAATGCGCTATAAAAAGCCATAATACACTTATTTCTTGTACTTTTAGCGGCCAGAGAACTCCTAATTTATACATAATTCTATAGCAAAACTAATGTTACCGTAACTATATGTAGAGGTACAAATGAACCGAGTCAAGCCAAGCACCAGGCTGTTTGGGCACTGCTCCTTCGATTGCAAAAATTGTTCAAAACTGGTTTAGGATCGTGATGATTATTAAACATTCTATTCAAGCATGGCTAATCAGTTTTTTGTTCAAAATTGAACTCAGGCTCTAGTTAACTTTGATTGGCTACTTAAATAAGGCATTGCTTAGGGTCAACTCGTTTATTAAATGAGACTCAAAATTGAATCGAGTTCGATTCATTTCTGAACTTGACGAGTTTACATGAGTGATAAAATAAGAGAAGAAAGATTACTTGTTGCAAGTGAAATTTTGGCCGCCTTTACATTTTCCCTTCCATTTCTTGGGTGGAGGACCAAAGCCTTCACTGTTGAAACTCTCCGATTCAGGCCAAATTCCGGTGTCGATAACCCCAACTATGACATTACTCTCGATGGTAGGATTTCGATGGACATTCTCAGAGAAACCCATGAAGTCCCAAGATCTTGTTGTTTGAGGATGAAGAGTTTTGCTTGGGAAAACTGACACCACACCATCAAAACCTGCACATTATTGTTCAAAAAACATGTTTATGATCCTATAAATCACAAAAAACTAAGATTATAATTGCTTTGAATGTACATGATACTCACTAGCCAACTTTTGCAGCTCTTGATCAGTGAGATATGCAGCAAATGCATTGAAACTCCTAGTGTAGCTTCTAACCAAAGATTGCAACAAAAAACTGGAGCGAGAGAGAGAGTATGATGAAAAGAGCGTTGTTGTGATTAATGGTTTTTTGGGAGTTAGAAGGTGTTTGTTACCTGCCATTAACAACTTCTTGGAGCATACTGAAGTGCTGAGATGATAGTGAATATTCTCCTTCAGGGAGAGCTCCCATATATACTATGTGAATCTGCAATATCATCAAACTATTAGCGACCATGAAAGCACCTTATGATGTAAACTTTGCATGCTCACGATAATCTGCAAGCCTCATGCATTTGTTAAATCCGATTTCACACAATCTAATAAAATAGAACTCAAAATATACAGATTTATGTCTCGTCTTTTGTTAGACAATTGAATTAACCTATATGGGTTCATGATCAGTGTCTTGTCAAACCAGTAATTCTGCAGTGACCACAAACTGAAAAATCACATCTATGTCAATACCACCTAGGGCTTTAGCCTAGTGACAACTTGGAGTAATTCAATTGTAAGAGAAGATTGATACCTATATTATTGGAGTAATTCTATATGTTAGTCTATCCATAACATATTACGCCTATATTTTTTGTAACTATCGTACTCAACTCAACAAAACATTGATTCCAACTATTTAGAATTGACTACATAAATCATGTTTTTCCATTGCGCTCTATCAAGAGTCATATGCTTATATCATTTTTTACCAATACGTTCACAATTATTTTAGGTCTTCCTCTACTTCTCGCATTACCAATGATCCATGACTATCATAAAATAGTAAAACAATTAAGAATGGCTTACCTTTCTTTCTTCATCATCAGCATCACAAACTGCACTCAAAGTGGCAAAGAAAACAACTAAGAAAACCAAAGAAGACCCAAGAGAGGGGATGTTAGCCATTGTTGAATTCTGTGTAGGAATTGCGAGTAATGATATGGTGTACTAATGGAAGAAAGGATATCATCTCTTATATAAAGAGATTTACATTGTTACCTTAAAATTAGACAAATTTTGGGAAATACATTTATTTTTCTTTCCATTTGTTTACTTGATGGAAAATACTATGCAACTGAAATTTAGATCCTAAATGGTATCCCAAATGAACAGGGATCATTGGATCAATGGTGCCATAATTTTTTTAAATATAACTCACTGATCCAATAATCCTTATTGATTTGGATTGTCATTTGGGATGCCAAAGTTGAGTTGTGTAACATTACTCTTTCTTGATTATAAAACAAATGAAAAGCAAAATATTTTTACTTCCCCAAAATGGTTCAATTTCTTCTTAAAATCAAAATTTTATATTTTTGGGTGAATAATTTTTTTTAAGGCAAAGACATTATGATTGATTCTTATAATTTCCCTATTAGATAATTTAAAGAATCTGCAAAATCTTTGGTAGTTTCAAAGGTGTGAATGTTCTAAATTAGTTGGAAAATTTTGATATTCACAAGTTTTTGGGTTGTTGGGTGATACATTTTCTTGATGTTTTCTTAATTAGTAATTTTTATTATAGTAATTGAATCAGAAATGAAACGTAAATCTATAGTTCTAGAGTTCTAGCCCCCTGTATGAAAGGAAACAATAAAATTTAGGGTAATTATCATCTACGCCCCCTTTTAAATAATCATATCTTCAATGAGATTTTCTCTATTATTTAAAACATTATTGACACCATTTTCTACTTTTACACTCTTGCCGTTAAATCATCGTTTTTAACAAAAAAATTCCTCTAACATATCAGAATTGCCTCTACATAAATTCTAAATAATTTTTCTATATAAAATTTGATTAAAATTCAAGCTAATTAAAATTTATGTTTTTACATATTAAAATTCGATTCGAGATGATTAAATTTTATTTTTTTGCTTGAATCGAATTTTAATCAATTCAAATTTTAATACATAAAAAAATATAATTTTTAATCGACTCAAATTTTAATATATAAAAAATAAATTTTAATTAGCTCGAATCGAATTTTAATTATTCCAAATTTTAATACATAAAATAATTCATAAACACAGAAGGGTCTCATCGAAAATATACCTATCTGAAGGGCGGCGAGTGGATAAAGTTATTCTAAAATATATCATGAATAATTTAATAAAATTATATTCTGATTAACATAATTAATCTAAGAGAGAATGTCAGTGATGTTTTATATAATAGAGGAGTGTGAATGATAATTACCCGAAAATTTAACTTGACAGTGCGGTGTTGGAAGAGTGACATGGTCTAAAACCCCCTTCCCTACCTCCCGGGGCGGTGGCGGAGCCACTCATAGGCCAGTGTGATCCGGTACCCTCTCTCTCTTGCCTACTAAACATGCTCATATGATAATTTTACACATATTTTTTAATCTTTTCTTTGACCCTTGCATTCTGGTGCCTTGGGAAGTATTATTATATCTTTTATTCTTATGTTTTAACTAGTAAAAAATACATGAATTATGTATCGAATTTAAATGGACATTTGGATTAGTATTGCTTTTTAAATTTGGGAATTTTTTCGATTGTGTATACTATAAAAATATATGATTTTAATATAATAGATGATTTATTGGTGGGCTTTTTGACCATGTACATCAATAAGAAATTATTGCAAAATTTTACACATAAATAGATAATTTTCGAGACAGGATATGAGATCAAGCATTATATGGATAGATGATTGAGTTGAATGCATTATGACATGAATATTGTGTCTTTTTCTTTTTGTTCCATATCTTAGTAAGACTAAATAATGTTAAATATATTTTTTTCTAGTATTTTATTTTTGATTATTAACTTCTTATATTTGTGTTTAAAAATATGTCTAAATCTTTAATAGTTTTTATCAATCACTAAAATTTTTTTTTTTTTCAACAGTCAAAAATATCTGGGTTAGTTTACGTGTACCTCGATTAATCATTTCTCTGATCCAGTCAAAAACAGACCATTCAAACGAGACTAGTGTATTAAAAAATAATAAACCTCTCATAAACTAACTTACTTTGTGTATTTCTAGGTTTAATGTGTATTACAGACTTGCTTTAATCTAATTATATTTTCTCTCTCTCTTTTTTTTTTTTATCTTTACTCTCTTTATCTTTGTTGATCAATTTTATCATGGTAAATGAAATAATTCATCTTGACAAACTATTAATGTTTTCTGTCACATCATGAATTTGAGAAAAGGGGTTAGAATATTTAATACTAAGGATAGTTTAAACATTTTTTTTATATTGTCCTACTATAAAAGACTTACTTTGTGAATTTCTAAATTTAATGTGTATTACAAATTTGCTTTACTCTTATTATATTTCTCTCTTTTTCTTTTTTACTCTCTTTATCTTTATTGATCAATTTTATCGGCCCAAAAGATTGTCAAGATTCAAACTACGTCTAAGTTTATAATAGGTCCATATTACCACTTGAAATTCCCCTGGGATTTCACTGAATTTTTTTTATTCATATTTGTGCCCACACCCTAAAGTGAAATGCTGGCGTGGGTACCTTCCATTCTTCCACTCTTATAGGCTTAACAAACGGAACTAATCCAGTATGTCACCAGTGATACACAGAACATCCACGAGAACAAAGATAATGGAAGGAAGAATGCCACTGTTATAAATAAGAAGAGGCCAAATGTATAGTACAAGTTTTTCTCCAGGATCTAGTCCCAAAGGTGAGTCTAGTTCAACAGGTTATCTATTTCTACTTGGACATGTCCTGGTATTGTGCCCTTTCTCCAGGCACAACCGGCAGGTGTAAGTCATTTTTCCAGAACCTGAGCTTGTTTCAATAACACCAGACTCTGCTCCCGTGGCCTGGAGGCAAGTCCTGCGGTTATGCCCACTTTGTCCGCATATCCTACAATGGTGATACCTTTGGGCCTTACTCTTCAATTCATTTGATTTTGACTTCCAGCAGGTTCTACTGTTATGCCCTCTTTCCCCACATAACCGGCATCTGAACCGTCTATCTGTTAGATTATTCTGAAGTTCAGGGCAGTAGTGCCTCCTATGCCCTTCTCGCCCACAGTTTCTGCAATAAAACTGCACTCCTGCATGAGAATGAGAACTTGATGTCACATCTCGCAGTAAAGGTTAAGGCATTTTTGAGAGACTGCATACAGAATATACGTCAAATCAGAACACATTAGCAGCATATGAGCGGGTGCCATTCTAGTATGACTCAAAACCATATAATCAACATTAAGGCACAGCAATGACCCAATAGAAGATTGCATGTTAAGTGAATAACCCAACAGATCAAAAGAGAAGGAAATCTAACACTAAGTGCAGTTATCGAGTGCAACATCAATTCAAATTAGTAGACCTTTCATGGCAATGCTTCTTTTGAGACGATTTTCTGGATCACGGAAGAAAGTTTTCATAGCTTCAGAAGCATGCTTCCTGGCAGCAGCAGTCCCTTTCGTCTTCTACATGAAATAAAAATCTTGAATGAGAACCTTCCTGTTACGGGTTATGGTGGAGAGATGCAGGTAACGCGTTTTTGTTTGACATTAAGTTGTGTAACATGTACAAATAGAGTAATGTGTATGCTTGAGGGCATTCTCTTGGTATTGCATAACAATTCAGTACTATTACACATAACTGCATGCTTATTTATGATTGGAATTAATATAAAAGAATAAGAAATGGAACCATAGAAATAGACAAGTGTGGCCCTGTTGTAAACCATCAAGATAGGTAACAAATTAAAAGATTAGAAGGTTTTGTTGAATCATAAAGTTTTTTGAGTTACATAGGGAATGTAAAAGTCACAAAAAATTCTGCAAATGTCAGACCTTGATTGCAGCCACTCTTTGAGCATGCAGCATAGGATCGCGATGGATAATCTTCATTCTCTTACTAAATAGTCCAGTTTTGGCATTGAGGCTCTGCAATCATCCAACTAAACAAAGAAGATTAAATTCATGTTGTGGTCAATTTGTCATACTATATCAGTTTATAAAACGATCTTCACCCAAGGAAAAAGTGGATGCACCAGCAAACTGGAAAACCTAGACATCAGCAAAAACTCCAAGTAGATATCTGAAATTAGATAATTTCATAAGGGAGAAACGAAGACAGAAAAAATTTAACATCCTCTTCTAAATTAGAATGACAGAATTTTTGCAAAGTGAGAAATTGAATGCCCTGTTATTGGAGTGCTAAGTTGATAGCCAAGGAAAATAAGGGTTCTCCATGCTAACAATGGACTCCCTAATACACATTCACAAATGAAGAAGTGGCCAGGGGAAAAATATAAAAAGAAAACGCTGTTCAGCAACCATCAGTAAGCTGGAAAACATCAAAGAGAAGTAATAACAGAGAAACATGCCCCCCTCTCTCACAACAACAAGAGCAAAAGGTAAAGAGATAACATACAAAACAGGAAGAATACAGGAATACTTAGCATAAAGTACGATACGGATTTAAGGAAAAAATGACTAACTTTTAATGATCTGCTGATCTTTAAACCAACTTCAGGAGTTGGAGATTGGTATACCCGCTTTGACTTTCTCCTCTTATCCAGCTTTATCTCTAAATTGTCCACTTCATCATCTTCCTTTACTTTCAGTGGAGAACTGAAATTGTGGGAATCAGATGAATAGAAAAAGGTAAACACTTGAAATACACTGATTATCATATAAAAATCAAAAGCAGGATGTGAAGCAGTTACACTGAGCGGGCTTTCTCCCATGGCTGTTCATCAATTGACTCTTCCCATATGACACATTCTCCCAAGCACCGATGACAAGTCTCTATCCCCTGTTACACTAGGGAACTCAGAACCACATGTAAGGCTAAGGAAATATAGAGCACATGGCCAATGAAACTCCAAAATCATCCTAAGCGTTCACTAAGTACAACATATCTATTATTCACTCATTTTTTAACTTTGGATGAGACTCACACATTATACAAGAAATAATAAAGTGCAGATGACAAGATACTCATCTTTTTAGTTGATTTTAACATATGATGTGTGGAAACCTTTTGAGAAAAAAAAAAAATGTGATGTGCACAACTCCGGAATAATGTTTACCTTCCCATTGCACCGTGGACAATCTACTCTAGATCTCTCTATCCCGCATTCTGTACACGGAGTATAACCTCTTCCCCTGCAACTTGGACAAGGCAACTCTCTGATATACTGGCCAGTGGGACCAAACCAGGATCTTTGTCTGGAAGCACCAGGTGTAATCTTTCTGAAATCAAAATAACAAAAAAGATATCTCATACATTGGAAGCATCACTATCACAAAAGAAGGTATTTAGTTCAACTTGAAGTTAGAATCAGGAAGCATTGTGAATTAAATCTCATAAACTGCGCGATTATAACATCATTATGATGATGATACAGTGGATGGTTAATCTAGAGGCACATCAAATGCTTACATTTATATTCTAATGTAAATACTTAACTTGCGTTATTCACTTTCAAACACGTAAATACATACAAATGTGTAAGCTTGCGCACCAACACACAGACACACACATAAAGAGAAAGAGCAGGAATGGCAACATAGCAGACGGAAAGAAGAGCTCAGACCTTGGTTGTGGATCAACGGCAAGTCCAAATAGTTCCTCCGAAGGATCATAACCCAACTGCAAGACAAGTTATTTCAACTTCAAACACAAAACCCCAGAAATTTAAAACCCAATTTCTGTGAAATTTGAACAAGTGCTCAATTTGCTAAAACCTTGCAGAGAGAGAGAGAGAGAGAGAGAGAGAGATTTGCCTGGGATTGTTTGGGAGGTGAGACGAAATCATCATCTTGGAATGAAGAAGAAATAGGGGAAGGGGGGAAGCTAATCTTTCTCTTTGAATGTAGTAGAATCCAGAAACGAAAGTTTTTACAATTATTAAGCTTCCACTGAGGGGCCATAGCTCGAAATGATGAACAAATTGCTGACATTTCACATGAAATGATAGTTCAGAGCAAGCAAACCAGAGAGAGAGTTGGATAGGGAAGGAAATGAAAAGCCTTTACGCCTGTCGTGTGGATAAAAAAGAGACAAGCAGGATGGCTATTTTTCAGTAGATTGCTTTAATATGTGTTTATCTATGTTCATAGAAATGATAGTAAGACCCCCCCAACATCTAGAAGTTATAACAATAACAATCCTTTGTGTTTTAGATTTGTTGATATTTCTGTCTTCATTATAGTTACGTTTCCATGGTGGTAAGACAATGTTTGTGTATGGGAGTTTGAACATGAGGGAGAGGCAGGGGAGGAGGGGGAGGTGGAGGTGGTGGTGGTTGTTAGGATAATATAGGGGTATTGGTGGCAGTTTGTGTAACGAGATTAAGATAGAGCAGGGGTCGTAGAAGTGCTCTAAATTTTATCTTTTATTTTCTAAAGGAAAGAATTCAATTTCACTTATTGGGTAAAAGTTTAGATTGGTCAAATAAAAAATTTATCATTTATGAATATCCTAATTCATGAGTCGATAATTTGTTTTTGATCAGATTAAAAAATGATTAATTGATGTACACGTAAACTGATTCAAACTCTTTTGAACGATATTAATCCAAATTTATATCTTAGACTGGTAATTTTAATGAAGGGTAAAATGGTCCTTTTGTTGAAATCTCTAACACCAACCATGGTTGGGGTCTCACTGTAATTTATGAAATGTGAGTGGGTGTTTGTGAAATTATATTAGATGTTAGGGGATCCGTGTGAAATTTAACCTAAAAACTTCATACAATAAAAAATGTCCATGAACCCGGTTCAAACATAATATACCATAAACCACGGTTCATATCACGAAGCCTGAGAGCTGTGCCTGTCCCCTTCAAAAACCCTATCAGTACTCACTACTGGGTAGCTTCTCCATCCTCCATCCTCCATTACTGCGAAGCTCAAGGTGGAAAATTTTCAGAGTGAAGGATTCGAAATACCACAGGTGGAAGACCATAAACCGAAGGAATGTTAAACCTCTCTTTATCTCCATCCCCAGCTAGGGTGAGTTTCAACATTCAAAGCCCTAAGCTCTTTTCGCAGCAATACCACTCTCTCTCTTCTCGAAATTGCTTCACACCCACCATTTATTTCCACCCCAACACCTCTTTTTCTGTCTTTACCTCCGAAGTCCCTAGCGGAAAGAACCTCTCTTTAGAATGCCGCCACTCTGATTACTACGAAACTCAACAGCAGAGGTTGTCCTCCAACGACTCTACTTTCGTTCCTCAACCAGGTTATTTTCCACTTTATTCATTTTATGGGAATCCAAACATAGGCGGATTAAATTGAAGTTTGATATGAAATGGGTTTGGATGTGGCTGTGGAATTTCTGTCTGGGTTTTTGTTTTTCATTATCTTGAAAACCTAAAATGGGTTTGAGTTACGGTTTATTGGTTGATGAGTTTGTGTAGATGGGGTTTTGCCGCCCAAGGTTTTTGTGGGACACTCAATATACAAAGGGAAAGCTGCTCTTACCGTGGAGCCTCGGTCTCCTGAGTTCTCGCCTTTAAATGTATGTTTTCGTTGATTTTACTCCTGAATTTTTGATATGGTAGTATTTTGAAGTGTTCTGTGGTATGAGTATATGATTTGCTTTTGTTGTTTATTTTGTATGATGAGGTGGTTGTATTGTGATAGTCCGGAGCGTTCAAGCTGTCAAAGGAAGGCTTTGTGTTGCTTCAGTTTGCTCCTGCGGCTGCTATGCGGCAGTATGATTGGAGCAGAAAACAGGTGAAATTTGCTTCCATTGATTCTGGAAGTGTGTGAGTGTGGGTGTTGCAATTAGGTGTTATAACTTTGGGTTCACGTAGGAAAGGGGTACCCAAATTAGTTGTTTGGGGAAAAAATTGTTCTTTCTATGAGGAAGTGAAGCAATTTCAATTCTTTCTGGGAGTTTGGCGCAATGTAATGTTGAGTTTGGAGTGCATTTTTTTAGCTTTGATTGTGTAAATGAATTTACAAAATGTCATATTCTGTTTAATATTTCCTTTTTTCAGGTATTTTCTTTGTCAGTGACAGAAATGGGGACTCTGATTAGCCTTGGTGCAAGGGATTCATGCGAATTTTTTCATGACCCTTTTAAAGGGAGAAGGTAACATCTCTTTGGTTCTTGAAGTTCAAGTGGAAAATTTTGTTTCATTTTGAAATTTTGAATGAGCAGCTTTCTGTGGGAAATTGAGATCCTTACAATTTTGGAGAAATCACAACACATGTTTTCTTGACTAATTGTTGCTTTGACAATGCACTTTTATGGAAACAATCTCCATCTTCAAGTGGCTTTATTTTATTTCGTGAGTTGGCTTCTTCCGAAAACTTTCAAGAGTTTATGAATCAATTATATGCATGTGGAGTTAAAATTGGAATTTTATAAGAATGATGTATCCTTTCAATGAACAACAATGGTTAGAGAGTTGGGATTTTTGCTTGTTTCATTAAATGTGTAAATCTTTCAGTAGCAGGAAAAAGTCTCACATAGGTGTGCTAAAAATTCTTCATAGCCTATTCCCCACTGTTTGTTAAATTCGAAGGGCAGAGCTGATATAGTGGTGGAAAATGTGTCATCCGCTTGATGGGATTGGTTCCAGGTATTGAAGCTTTGGCAGGATTACTGGTTGAGAAACTCGATGTAGCCAAGATATAGTGATTGTGTAATTTTTGTGCATGGTTATTGTATCCATTTGAGACGCATTATTGGTGGGGTCTTTGCCCTTGATACAGTTCAGTGCAGGCAAACTTCATGTTGTTGGCCAATTATAATTGTCTTAGTCATTTCTTTCCTTTGGTCTTTTTTGTGTTATCCATAATTGAAATTGCAATTCAATCTCTAGAATGGTTCAATAGCACAATCCCTGATGGGGTCATGAAGTCTGAGTGTCACAGGAATATATAAATGTTAAAATCAAGTGGATTTCATAGCTATTTGCTTACAAACCGCATCTAATTGAAAGTCGCACTATCGAGTGTTCAGGGTGTGCCTTATTAGTATGGCCCTATCATTAAGTTTCCAGGCGAAAATATGCATGGATTGATGTGTCTTGTATGTCATTGTCATGCTCATGCAGCTCATTACTGCAGCATTAATTATTGTTGACATCAATGTGACAAGTTAGTTCTCTATGCTTGAATTGTCATTCAAAATGTCAAGTGTGTTGTATTTTGCAGTGATGAAGGCAAAGTAAGGAAGGTGTTGAAGGTAGAGCCCCTTCCGGATGGCTCTGGTCACTTCTTTAATCTCAGTAATCTTCTTTACCGTATAGACCTTGGCAGTTATATTTTTAGAGTGCTCAGTTTCTATGTCCTAATAATTTGTCTGTTGCTGTTTTATTGTCGTATAATTTGAAGGTGTTCAAAACAAGCTCATTAATGTGGATGAGAGCATTTATATCCCTATTACCAAAGCCGAGTACACAGTTCTCATGTCTGCATTTAATGTAAGATACTTCTCTCCGTACATCTTTCTTGTTTTATCTTTTATCTTGTGTTACCACATCAAACTATTGAACTGATTTTGGATAATGAGGTTGTATCTTTCACAAGTAGTAAAGGGATTCTTTGTCAAAGCAATGAAACATTCATTGTCATGATAGGTTCATAGCCTGATTTAGGTATCTATCTACCAGCTATAATTGGCTACATTTGTTTTTGACTCTTGTATATTGACTTGTTATTTGTGCAGTTTATTGTGCCTTACCTTTTAGGTTGGAATACCTTCGCAAACTCCATAAAGCCTGAAGATACAAGCCGTATGACAAATGCTAATCATAGATCTGGTGCTGACTTTGAATGGAGCAGATAAAAGCAGATGGTTTTCACTGTAAGGTTTTCTCAAACATGGAGCAAAGGACCATATATAAATTTCATTACCTTTTTTTTTTTGTTGTATCATATAGGCTTTCGTTTTTTATTCCTGCTGATTTGTTGTGCTATATTGACGTGATATGAGGGAATATCCTCCCAAAAAATTTGGCAATTTGCTGTGTCCATTGGAACTCATCCAAAAGGGCTAGCCAAAGAGTTGTCATTGTTCTTATATATATGTCTAGGATCCTTGTGCAAACTTCCGATGTGCGGGGGCGTAACAGTTATGGTTTTGACAACTAGAAGCATGCATGGTTGAGTAAAGGATATAAATATGTTAGCCAGATTAGTGATAGGTTTTGTCAATGGTATTATTTTTGGCTTGGGTTCATTCTCTATTTAGCGGATGGGAATAAGACAGTGTCAGTTAAGGGTTATGGAAGGGAACCCTCCCTCCTTTCACCATATTTAAACTTAAAATTTGCAGAGGTCACAATAATGTGCCTGTTCAAACAAAAAAAATGTTCATTTTTCTGCTTATTTTAACCCTTCGAACTCACCAATTTATCTGATTATAAACCTGATATTACTCTATAGTTATACGTGGCGGATTCACAGACCCTGTCTGTATAACTATGTTTTGATGCCCTAACCTTTTAATCTCTAGATCTAACCTTAGACCCTGACCTTGGACCTAGATCTGGATTCGACCTTGGCTCCCACCTTGACCTGACCTCAGACTCAGACTCAGGCTCAGACGGAACCAGATCTTGGACCTTGAACTTGGCACTGGACCCCATTCCTACGCTAGACACGGGTTTGAACTCGACCCATGATCCGGACCTTACCCAAAACCAACCTTGACATCGGCCCGACCTGGTGTTGACACGACTTTAGATTTGGACTAAGATCTCGGACCCGAATTCAAACCTGACCCAGATTACAAACTTGGACACAGATTTGGACCCGACCCTTGACTTGAAACCTTTTCTGAACCCAGAATTGACCCTAACATTGGGCGTGGACTTGGATCTGATCCTTGATCTGACTCGACCCAAATTATAGATCCTAAACCCAACACTTGGACCCTAGAATTGGACTTGACCCAAACCCTGGACCCAGACCCAAACCCCAACCTCTGACCCTAGACTCTACTTTGGACTGTAAACCTAAATCAAATTCTAGACCCTGTTCTCGGACCTAATTATAGATCCAAACTTGGACCCGATCCCAGACCCAAGACATGAACCAGACCTTGGATTTGGACCTAGCCCCCAACTCCAGACCCAACTTGGACTCGGACTCTGGGTGGATGTGGGGCAGTGGTGGTGATAGTGGTTTGCTAGTGATGGTGGCAACCAACAAGTGATGGTATTTGGGAATGAGAATTGCCATACTAGTGGGATTAGACATTGTATGGAAATAAAAATGAATTTTCATTACTACATGCCAAACATTGGAATGAACATTATTGAGTTATGGATCGTGCTTCATTACCATCTATCAAACACAACTTTATACTGCTAAAAACGATTCAATTTAACAATGTATAGACAGTTTATGTCATGTGTAAGTCGTATTGAATTTATTTCGCCTCAATCAATTTACTCATAAGGTTTAAGGAGTCAAGTCAACCCATCACGGCATGTGCAATACTTTTATGTCAATTTCATGTCAGATTTGAAAGTTGTGTTAAAAACTATCGACCCTAATTGTTGCAATCATAGTTAATGAACCTTGCTGCATCTTCTTTAATAGTAAGGTATGCTTCCAGTCGCACCTTGCTGCATCTGCTCCATATATATAATAACCACGCACCCGTGCTGTGAAAAGCTCCAATATTGACCTTTCTCTCTTTGCCCCAGCCCAGTTGAAACCCTTTTCATATTATTATCTTTCCTAAACAAAAAAGAAATATTAAACCACTTAATTCGTCATCTTTTTTTTGTAAGGCTTGAACCCTATGGTATATTCTTTTATGAAGTGCTACCATGAAGAAAGGTCAAATGCCAAATGAACAACTCATCATAGACCAATGACAATCACTTTCTGCACAAATTGTCCAGTTTTTTACAAGTCAATACACACACACACACCCACACACACATATTTGGTTCTACAATCAGGGGTGTGCAGACTAGCTTACGTGCACTTTGACTAATCCTCTTTTGGATCCGGTCAAAGATAAGTCATCTACGCCAGGATTAGGATATTCATGAGAGATAAATCATTTATTCTCTGGCCTCAAGGGATTATCAAGATTCGAATTTAAGACGTTTGATTTACAGCTCTTCCCTATTATTACTTGAGCTCCTATATATATGTATTGGTTCTTCTGTTTGAGTTTGAGGGCATGTATCACCTATGATAGTTTTTTGTTATATTTTACTACTAAATATAAGCATGATTCTACCAGAAACTGTTGAGAAAGCATTGACTTGGACACAAAATAAACATTCTATTGAGTGCCTAATCATATTTTTATTAGTAGCAATTTCGAGTAAGATCTAACTCATTGACCATCAATCTTCAAATCGTCATGAAAAAGTGACAGCTACTCTTCTTTCTGTATTATATTTTAAGGTCTTCCCAGGAACAGGTTAGACTTCACCCGTAAACGGATAAAAATAATGTTCTAGGTTTACTTGTTCACCCAAGTACCTATAAATGTAGAGATAATTTCATTTTCAATTTGTAATTTAGATTTTTAGTAAGAGAACGGGTCTTGATGCAACAATAAGTCAAGTTTATTGTGAGTTACTTAAACATCATGAGTTCGAGTTATGGACGTAGTTGTTTTGGAAGTGAGGATAAACTTGCATAAATCTAACCCTCTTCAATTACCGCAACGATCAGCAAGTTTGTGAGTACCTTGAGAGAAATGTATTTTTTTCATTTGTCATCAAACATAGCAATGTTGAAAATATCTTAGTTTCACATACTTAAATCAGCAGCTATTGACCTGTTTCAGAATAATTAACTACCACTTGATTTAGTTTAGTAGGAATGTAGTTTAATAGCTAATTTCTGTCTGATAGAGTTGAATGCTCTTATAAAATGCAAGTGGACCATCTTGTCTTTGATTGAGCTGTCAGCACCCAACTTCTATATTTTGAGTTGTTAATCTCTTAGATTCGTAAGTTATCAAAGTTTGTTAAACTATGTGAGATCAGACTGGACTAAGATAATGCTTATGAAGTGCAGCAAGTGGGAAAAAAAGTCGCATATTGACCTAAATAAGATGATGTGCAACCTAATTTTTATTATTTTGGTTTAATAGTCGAAGATATGTCCGGGTCAACTTACGTGTACCTCAACTAATCTCCTCTCCGATCTAGTTAAAGGCAGGTTATCAACGTTGAGACTAAGGTATTTATGAAGGATAAATTCATCCTGGCCTGACCTCAATGAATTGTCAAGATTTAAACTAAAGATATCTGAATTTATAACTCGTTTTTTTTACCACTTGAACTACTCTTTAAATTATACAATCCAATTTTGATTTCTTGGCATATGGCAGAACTTGGCATAGATGTAAAGTTACTCCTTTATGATGTTACATCAACGTTTAAGACGGGGAAACAATATTTAATGACCACACACACAAGAGGATATGTGTATATTTTGAACATACTTATTCAACATTATATTGTAGTCGCAAGGGCTCAAAAATATCCAACAAACCCAAGTCCAAACACAACATTTAAAAGGGCATAACCATTAGAGAAGTGAATGAGAATTTATCAATCAATGTGAACCTCTTGTCTTAATCGATGTGGGATTTCTGTTCATCTTTTTTTGATGAACACACACAAAAAGATGCATAAATATTTTGAATATATTTTACCCAATATCATATTGCAGTAGTCGTGAAAATAATTTTATTTTTCATTTTTTTGGGGGGAGGAGGGAGGGGAGAGGGAGAAGGTGAGAGACTTGAACCCTTATCCTCAATAAAATTGTAAATAAGGTTGCGTTTATATTTATCCTTGGCATATCTTGTAGTGGTGAAAGTTTTGTATACTGAATTGCCCTTTTTAGTCTTATATTTTGGCAGTAGAGATTCTTCCCCTCCCAACCTTACCTTTCTTCAGCAGTACACGTATATTTGGGTGTAGACACTGTTCAGTGCATGAAATACAAAATGGTTCAAACCTTGATAGTTTGGTTGCATACGCTAATACTATTTCTACTTAGCTTGCTTAATATCTAAGTTATTGTTTTCGTTGGATTGACAGTAAACCTCATTATTGAATGAGAACCACGGATAATTAATCCAAAAGTCATAATGAATTACATCCGCAAATCTGGTATCCAATGCTCTACACAATCCTAATTTCAATGTTCAACCTGCCTCTGCAAGTCATTTGGAAAAGAGTTGCCTTTCCTTTTTTTTTTTGCTAGGTGGAAGGGAGGTCAGGAGCGACCAGATGTAGCAACCCCCAGTGCGTTACTTTAAAATTTTCACCTATTGTAAAATGTTTGGTTTGAATCATAGTTATTGACCTGGGATGGTCGAACCTGTCATCACAGCATCACTGAGGACAAGTTGGACATTCAGTCCCTCTTATATTATCTGGTTCATAGGGAATATTATCCCAAACGATTTCAAATCCATAACCACCGAAAGAGAGTGGGATTTTCATCTTCTATTAAAGCTAACTAGGCTAACACCTCGGTGGTAGAAGCCTTTCTTTGTTCATTGCTCTCATACCTAGTTAATCTGCCTAGATAAGCTTGTTTATAGTCAAAACATATAAATTACAATGCTAACGTCTGTCGAACCTTTTATCTGATTTTATTTATTTATTATTATTTCTCTGTTATTTAACTTGCTAGTAAACTTTTATTAGCGATTTAAAATTTGTGCAATGTAATTTATTGGCCTTGTGGAGTTTATCAACTACATTTTAATCTCTTTGCCCACCGGCCACACCTTAGTAAATACATAGTTTTCCTCATCGGCTCCTAGAACTGAGCAATATGTATGTTTGAATTGAATCTGTACGTTTGAATTAGACATAAAAAAAAATGTGGGTATAGGTGGAATTTGGAAAAGATGTGGGTATAGATTATGCAAATGGTCTCCTGTGTACAGAAAAAAATATATATATTTAAAAGGTTGGAATGGTTGTTGAACTATTGATGGTGGGGGTACGAATTTTTTTCTTTTTTTTTTTTGGGTGGTTGTTGTTAAATTTGCCTTTTTTTAGTCCAAATTAATGCAAATATTTGATGGTTCTTCATCTATAGTTTTCTTGCTGCATTGGTCACCCACAGAAGGCTAGGTCAAAGTTGTTGGAAATTCCAAGAGATTTGGTAGGTAATTAAGGGTCTAAGAAACTTGGGTTCGGTTTGGTTAGACTTTTAAAATTGTAAATTAAGT